GGACGTTTGCGTATCTTGGAATGTGTTTTTGAGACACGCGTGAACGGGATTACTAATTTCAGAGCGGCTATGAGATTGTACCGACAAAGATTCCCAGGAATCTACTGCCCTACAAGAGCTACATTTCGCAAGTTATTTAAAGAAATTTTTTGTATTCAATATGAAACAGAATGTCAAAGTTAATTATTAAGTTGAACATTTAACAGTGCATTTTCTGCAACATACATATATTTACTCTTCAAACGTTTCTTATTGTTATTGATAAATAAACAGTCACAATATAATATAAGAATTTAACATATTATTCTCATAAAGAATATTGTTATGTTGCTAGTTTTTCTTTGGGCCTTGTCAACAATTAACAATATAAAAATTATTAGGTATTTCTCTTCAACCTAACCCTTCATAATGTTTAAAAAAAGTGCGACGTAACAGGCGGCAAATCTAATTCATTAGGCGAGTTAAAGGCTTGCGACTGTTGAGACGGGCTGGCAGGCATTGGCAACAATCTGTACGAACCAGAAGCGTGCGATAGGTGAGATGGGCCGGCAGACGTTTGCGCTCGTCGAAGCGAGCCGAGGGAGGCCCGTGGTCCTTGAGACCAACTGCAGGAGGGTCGCAGTCGGCGAGACTGTCTGTCAGGCGCTGGTGACCCCCGAGACGAGCCAGAGGATACGCGCAGTCTGCGAGACGGGCTGTCAGGTGCTGGTGATCCCTGAGACAAGCCAGAGGATACGCGCAGTCTGCGAGACGGGTTGTCAGGTGCTGGTGACCCCTGAGACAAGCCAGAGGCGCGCGATCGGTGATTGCTCCACCGTGTTGAATAACACGACTGGCACAATTCTCCACATTCAGCACACCTTGACCTTGATTGTGCAACGCGCTTTACTGGAATATCTCCAAGTTTATCCAGATGTTCTTGTTCAGAAAGAGCTTCTTCGTCTAAACTTTCATCAGTATCGGATATCATTAATGAATTGATATGTTTGAATCCCTGAGGACCTTCTGTCATACGTGGAGCTGGCATAATTTCTTCGTTTGCACCCGGTTTGACGTCATAATCTCTGTAACATGATGGTAAAAATATAAAAATGCAGTTAACTTCGCACGAAGGTGTGTGCACGAATGCGATGAATATTTTCTATTAGAAAATGCATACTTACATAAAATTTTTTAAGCATCGAGTTGCATTATCTATCCATCCATCAGAAGAATCTTTATAATATTTTTTGACGTATTAAGTAACAATCTTTTTCCTTTTTGGCAAACATCAACAACCGTCTTACAGACTTTAGTTTTTGATTACTGGCAGAGCTCATACTTTTTATGGATTTTAATTCTTCAATGGATATCATGTGCTCTCCATCGTTATGCAAAATATTAAAAATTCTTGCGGACGTAAGTTGGTTGGGGTTCACGCACGATGTAAGGGGTATAGTTGGTGATATAGCCCTGAAATGTTATGTACAATGTTAAGTAAATATTTTTATAAGGTTACTCAAACGTTATACCCACGCAAAACTCCACGCTAACGCAAGAATATTTTTATTGCAAAGGTTCAACGCCGTATCCGTAATGTCGTTAAAATGCTGTGTGACGACAGTGTTGAAACTATTTAATGCTAACGTCCCAGCACCTTTAACCTGGGCAATCGACTTATCGTAAGTCAGCCGCACGACTTGTCTCCCTCGTTCAGAATCAGAAGTCCAAATATCCACCGATCGGCCTCGCTTAATCAAATGTCTTCGTAGCTTGATGAGTTTTCCAGCGTGCTCACCTGAGCAAAGCCCAAGCCAAGTCATCTCGAAGTTAACCATTTTGGACTCGAGCAATAAAAAACAATGACGTTACTAATTTTTTTGAAAACATTTTCTCTTTACAGTTCGTTGCTATAGAAACGAATCTAGTGCATTTTCGAGAATGAGAACATACTTGAATGTTTGTTTTTTAGTGAATAATAATTATTTGTATTTTACCTACTCATAAATTAAGAGATAGCGCAAAAAATTGTGGTTGGCGCTTTCGGTTTGTACCTCCTCGCAAAAGTAGTGAGCGCTGCGAGTCATTTTGTTATTATTGATGTGCCAATTCACTGATTTGATTCAGAAAAATTTTGTGTCCTTTCATGAATAGCACTTTCATTTAATACCTGCTCTCGAAGAAAAATAGCGTCACTGGTCAAATAGGCGTTAGCGTTTTCCTTGATACAATTCTCGTGAGAAAACAAAGCGCCTCAGATCATTTAGCAGGCACTGTCATTTCGTACTAACTTGCAAGAAAACCGAACCCCATAAATCTTTTACTACTTAGTGCAAATATTATAAACCTGCTTGAAAGTAAAAAATCGTCCTGTGTAATTGAAAATACACGATATCTTTCTATACACATTTTGCAAGTATGTAAAGCACCCTGGATCCATAGGTAGTAAGAAAATTTTATTTTAATCTGCTTATGAAGAAAATAAAGACCACGGATAAGTTGATGATTGCAGCTTTCGTTATTTACCTACATACTATATATTTATTTGAAAAACTTTGATTAATATTTAGTGCTAAGAGCTTGAAACTTATAGCTACTCGCGTGCGATAGAGCACCCACGAGTATTAATAGAACACTACTATTTCTCAAAATGTTATATGACAGTTTTCTCCCAACGAAAAAGTTCAGCGAATGGTCCCGGTTCGATAAACTTTGACGTTTGGCCGAAAGTTAAACCTATAGTAAAAAATAGCTTTGCACTGTTAAAAGTCGGCCCGCAATTAAGTTTTATGGCCGCGTTTCTCACTAAGAAAGACATTATCAAAGATCCCCACGCGGGAAACTTTGACGTTGATTCAAAAGTCGAGCTTTAAACAGTTATTAGCTGGATCGCGACTAAAATTCTGCAAAAACTAGGATCGTTTTACCGTGTTTCTCGCTAAAAAAGACGATATCGAAGATCCCCTTGTGGGAAACTTTGACTCTGGACCACGAGCTGAAAATACTTTCCGTATTGATTTATAGATTGATCGTTAAACTAGCGTATATTTTTACTGGTGATCGTTTACAGCTGGATCAATCAATAAGAAGATACTTTTACTAGCGAATATTTTGACTCGCGAATAATTTAACGAGCAGATTGTTACACAGGTGAATGGCTTTACTGGTAGATAGTTTTCTGAGCAGATCGTTTTATCAGCGGATCGTTTTACGAGCAGATCGTTTTACTTGCGAATCAGTTGATTGGTAGATTGTTTTAACGACGAATCGTTCTCCTTAAGTATATTTTCTCTGTTGAATCAATTGATAGATACATTGTTTTATAAGTTTTTTTGTAGATTATATTTTTTTCTGGAGGACGAAACGCAGCAGTGGCTTCAGTTTCGTAAATACACTCGATCTAACCTCTAGGAAATATTTCTGTACTTCTTATTTCAATAATAGATCTTTTAATCTGTGGTTGTTTTATTAACAAATTAAAGTATTAGCGACGAGGAATGCTCGTTTATTAATTTTTCAAGTTAAAGAATTGAGTTGATTTTTGAATATTTCTGTTTATAAAAATAACACACTTAGCAGAGCCAGTTTTATTGTTCAATCGGTATTATTGCCAGTAGCGGTCTAAAAACAGAAGGCAAGCTTGCACTGCTCGCATACAGCATTCGGTTACTTCTTCTAAAAAACAGGATACGGAGAAAAAAAATTATTCAAAATAATTCACGCTTCGAACCAAACAAGTTTTTATGTTTTAAATTTTTCATGAAAAAATTAAATTTAAAATTTATCTTAATTCTGTGGTACCTATTGCCGTAATTGGTTATTATTTAAAAAATGAAAACAAAAGTTATCAAGAAACAAGATAACAGAACAGTAACCTTCAAATAAAACATACGAACTTCAGATCTGTATGCTTGAAGTTAGGATTAGTAGCTCGAGAACGCAGATTAAACCTGCACTGGAATAAGTAAAAATTTGGGCAGATGTAATTTAATTTTAAAGCATGACCTAGTAGTATAATTTGTTTTAGGACGTGTTTATATGCAATTATGTGATCGGAGCAAGTGAATTCAAAGTCAAAATAACTAATAAAATTTTTTTTCTCAGAAACAAACATTATATTTTAAAAATGGTTGAACCTACGATAATTTGAGTAACATCACGAGAAAGTGCATCAAATTTTTCCTTAGAGGTACCAGTTTCAACTACATAGGACCAGTAGATAAAAAATAAGAGGGGGGGGGGGGTAGATTCTAAATGGTCACTTTGAAAGTTTTCAACAACTAGGTTTAAAAAATAAAAAAAATATTTTGCAACTGCGTCTGCAACTTCGTTGCCAGTTAGTCCGGCGTGTGCTTTAACTCATGTCAACTTGACTGAATTGTTTGGATTTCCTGTTACTCACATGCCTTTGCACAGTGACGGTAAAAACACGCGAATAGCAGTTGTATGGGAAAAACTTATTTTGATCTGTTCCACGAGTCTAACAGAACTCGGTGGTTTAAAAATACGAACTCTAGTAGAAATGATATTGTAACTCTGAATAAAATGAGATCAAATTATCATAGTCTTGTGGAGTCTCTATTACGTAAGAACATTATACCTGACTTACATACATGTATACACACTATGTACTCATTTATAATAATAATCAATTCATATGCAACTATATTTATAGTCTGGCTACTCATGCTTAAGAAAATAAAATAAAAAGCTATATGAGAACTTTGGTGGACCGATCAGCTTGTTTATTATATTTTAATTATTTTGTCACGAATTCTTGTGCTGAAAATCATTACTAAGCATGCAAACTGTTATTACATCAAAATAATCCTGATAAAATACTATATTGAATATTTATTTTCATTGATTTAAAATTTTAAATTCTAACTTAGAAGTAAATAGTGTATGCGGGCACCATGGTGGACTTTTAAAACTTGCCTGCATCGTGCAACTTAATCTTTGTCTTTTATACAATCAAGTATGAATATAATGAAAATGTATTTAAATGAAGAAGTACTTACTTGACATTTGCGTGAAAAATATAAGTTTGATTGGCCACAACTCCTTCTGACGAAAATCTTTTATGATCCTGCCGAAGAAGCTTTTTAGCAGCATCATGATTGTTCCCCGATGTTCTTCGCTTGTTTCGGTACATATATGGTTTATATTTGAGTGTTTGTAAACTAAACACTTCTTTGTTAGGGTTGCCTTTTTTTCTTTATAGTAAAATTGTATGCAATTACTCCTTCAGATTCATCTCCTCTTGCAAGACATCTTTGTTTAACTTAGCTGTGGTAAAACAGTTGACTGAAAATATAAAATTGAATATTGTAAATTAAAACTTATGTAAAACAACTTCTTATTTTAACATATATTTTAAAAGTTTCATATATCTCTTTGAAATAAAAGTACAATCCCGTGTGCGTATAGACACTCGGGCGGCTTTATTACTTAACGCCTGAAAAACGACTCATAATGGTTACGAAAGTTCAGAACAAAGTTGGTTTCATCTCTAACAAATTTTTTATCATTAGAAACCGAGGCGCTGACACTTAAATTTTATGCAATTTTATAAATAGGTGAGAATATTACGCATATCCTAGAAGACAGAATTTTTTGATTAAACTTTCGATACAAAGTAATAAAATTGGGCTTGAAATGGAAAATTTCCACCGTGATGGGGTACCTAAGGAAAAGAAAGTCCTTTAACAATATCTTAAAATCCAGGAATTTGTCGCCTTTGTGGATGTTGCATCTTTAAACTACTGAAATAACAAAATGTACATTGCAAGAAGACAAGAAGAGGATATAATACATTGGAAGAGAAAGAAGAATCAGCAGCAGCTGAACCCATGCTTAAACGTCTGGGATTAACGTAATTGTTTTCAATTTTTCTACAGTCATATTCTGTTACTTAAATGCTTATTATGCACACTCAAATAAACTGATGTCATCCAGTTAAACGTGTGTAAAAAAATTTTCGTATGATATGACAATATCTACAGTGTATAGTTATGAAAAACGACCGTGTTTATATGAAAATGTACGCAGTTAAAAACGCTAGAAAATCCAAGTTGTCAACTTGGCATGTAAAACTTCTAATGAAAATCACGATGTATGCAATAACAAACAATTATAAGCAACGTTGTTGCAAAGTTTTGTTCTTTTATTGCTGTGAAATTCACTCTGCAATTAAAAATCTCTATGGCCAGCGGGCGTGTTCAGCTGAAGCGTATGTTTGCTTCAGTGCGTAACTTTGCCAATGCAACGTATCCAACGCGTTACTAAGCGGCGTTTCCACTTTTTAATAAATAGTTGTTTCTTGGCGATAAAAGTTATGATGGGCAATAAAAGAATTTTTTCTATGAACCTGAGGCCTGAAACTTGTAAGTACTTGGCCAAGTTTCAGGAGTATACGCATACTAAGGGCAGTTTCTACGAATACAGCAATATAAGTATCGTATCTTTGCTTCTGTTGGTCTTAAGTTTATTTTTTACTATTAATTATGATGACTAAGAAGCAAGCGAAATAAGTACATAGTTATGTATAGAAAAAAACCAATAGTAAAAAACATTTAAAATTTGCATTCTCTAAAGATAACGTAATTATCTACCAGCTAAAATTGGTCTGATTGAGATCAATTTTCCTAGACACAACTGATAGCTGAGTAAAGTTTCAATTCAACAGTTTTGCAATAGATCACCATATAAATTATGGACAACCGTACCTGAGGTTTTGCATTAATATTACCGATATCCATGAAATATCCAAATATCTCGCAAATGAAACTTAGTTCATCATGTATTTAATAATAATTTTTAATTTCAGCGTTTTTAAAATTTCGTATTCCTTTTTATTTTAAAATAATTTCTTCAATTTACAAGATACCGTAATTCTACATAAAATCATCCGACGAAGAATTTTCATATTTAACTTTTTCCACTAAAACCTTTTGTTTTTGAGAACTTTAACTAAATAACTGAAAAAAAATAATTTTTTCCTTCTTCGGGCGTTTTTGAGGGTGTGGTGTGTCCTCAGTAGGAAAAATAGGGTTCGCATCCAACCAGGGCAGCACAAGGAGTCGCTCGGGCCTGGTGCTTGCCCTGGAAACATGCGCCACCAGGTATGAAACTACTGTTTCAAGTAATTTTTCAATACCAGAGACAGAGTTCAACTCGTACATTCAAACTTTTAAAATGGCTTATTATATGTGTTGAGATCTTTCGTTTAAAGCCCAGTTTTATCACTTCCCATTTACAGTTAGATCCAACAGTTCTGGCTTCCGGGATGAAGGTAATTTTTACTTCTTTATAAAATTGAAATGACAATGAAAATTAACTGTAATAAACTTGAATTAAATAATTTAAAAATTTTTTTCTTATAGCAATTTAGTCAATTACAAGTAACTTTAAAGTGTACAATCTACATCTAATATAGTTGTAAAGAACTCGTTTTTAATTTTGTAAAGCAAATAATGCCAACAACGTAGACTTCTAAACAGACCAGTGCAGTTAGTTAGGAGACGACATCAAGACGTGTTATCTTAAATAATAATAAATACTCTTTGAATCGAAATTTGTTAAAAAATAAATTAAAAGTATAAAACACGGGAAAAGTCTGTAAATAATTACACCTATGCAATCATAAAATAAGAGCTAAAAGTTATAATGAAGTTTGAATTAATTTTTAATGAAAATGTATCAATAATATTTTCTCTGATAACTATTAACTTTCTTATGAATTTACTAAGCTTTCTTGGCGTGAACAAATTTTGTGTACTTATTTGATTTAAGAGGGTCATGCTTGTTTTTTAGGCCGCTTGATAAATATCAAATACGATTATTTCTTGATATGATTTCATGAGTAGACTTACAGACTCTCGTCATAATGAAATAAGTGATTAAAAAGATTTTATAAGACATAATTCACCAACAGTATAATTAAACATAAAATACATCTTGACTAAGTACCCATCTGGTCTACTGGTTTTTGAGAAGGTACCAGATTTCGGGCAACAATTGAATTGCTTTGCGTTCGATTAATATTGCTAGTTTACTCGCTCCCGCATTTTGAACATAAATATATCAATGAAGTTTATTGCTTGGAAGGCGACAAATTTCGTCACACTCGCACACGTGTTGTATGCGCGTGCGTGCGCGCGCGTGTGTGTGTGTGTGTGTGGATGCTTACCATAGTAGCAGATCGTAAATTTTGAGGAGCAGATCCATGCAACTGCGTAAGAAGTGCATGGGTCTGCTTCTTAAAACTTACGATGCGTTACTGGGATAGTATGCAGCATGTAGTGCCTTTATAATCAGAGGGTCAAACGTATTGTAATTACAACTTAACTAAAGCAAAGCTACAAAAGTATAGGCTCTCCGACCTTACCGCCACCTTTTCGCACATGCTTATATACTATGGTAAAAATTTGAAGCTCCAAGAAATTGCAATTTATAGGCATGTCAATAAAAAATATGTGTTTAAGTAAGTTCACCGCTACTGACTTAGACGATTTCTGCGGTTCAAATGCGCGTAATGAGGTGGAGTGCATTAATGTAAAGGTCAACATTTATGTAAAGACTCTGCTCTAGTCATAAAAAATAGTACTTGTAGGAGTTGTTTTGGTTATTAAATTTACGATAAGACGATTAAATTTTCCTTTCCATCAACTCTATTAAAAATATCAATGCTTAATTAACACTCTAAGTAAGTGACTGTGGTATTTGGCAATTTTCTCGGGGATGTTATAACCAGGCTCACTTACTTCTATTGCAGGTAGCTTAGATTTTACTTCTACGCCTCCTAACGAATCATACAAAACTAAAGTGGAAAGCAGTCGTATTTCCACAAAACTTTGAGCTTATTTGTTCGCGGTGTTAAGTAGTGAGCTTTGAGGGAGTAAGGGGACACCTATGGGACCACTGCTGATTGGTTGCTTCATCCTATAAGATTAACACAGACTTGCGTCCACCATTTGTGGCTACTGGATATACACATATATAGATGTTCAGGTCTAATGGCTTTGTCCACTCACTCCCTCGAAGCTCACTAGTGTTAATGGACAAGTAGCACCGTCCTGATGGTTGAAAGCTGAACCAATTCCACTACTAAGTATATAGTTCAAACTGTAGACGCCAAACAGAAGAATCCAGAAAATACGTTAAAGGAGGAAATATAGTAAATGCAAAGCACATTTTTTAATGCGCCGTAAAATTAAAAAAATCGTTATAAAAAATGTGGTTTGTTTATATTTGAAATCGAATGACTTGTTTGGTAAATCATATGAGCTGGAAGTGAGCCCTATAAGCTCTGAGAGAAAATATTTATATTATTGTAACTGTTCTTACCCAACTGATTCTAGAGAAAGCTGTAAGCATACTGTAGGTGTCGTAGTACATTTTTAAGGTATATAGGTTATAAAATGTAAACAATATTTGACCCTGAAAGACATTAATTTTCACATAAGATATATCATACATTATAATCAAATTACTTCAAAAGTGGTTGTCTTTCCTGAAATATTTCCTGCAAACAAATGTTTAAGTAGTGCCTTTTTTGGTTATTTTATATGCCTTGATCTATTATCTTCAAATATACTACTATTATTCGGTATACTATGAAAAATAATTTTATTTACACTTGAATTATCATCGCAGCTAGACACACTACAAGGAAAGCGCTGGGGCTTTTGCTTACTTATTTTAAGATGAAAAAAATTAATGCTTTTATTTACTACTGTTGGCCGCGAATATCGTTTGAACTACATACTTAGTAGTAGAATTGGTTTACCAGGTTCAGCTTCCAACTATTAGTGTGGCGCTGTGGCTCTACTTGTCGCTTAACACCGCGAATGGCTATTGATATTATTTTTTTCAAGATAAAAATTATACAAAAACCATCCAAGAAGTGTAAAGAATCAATACGCAAAATTTCAGTAAAATAAGTCAAGTAGTTTTCGCGGTTATAATAGTTTTTGGAACTTTGCTTTATGTATTAATGAGAGTAAGATTTAAGGTTTTTTTGGACACCATATATTATACGCTCAGAAACGTTCAAAATTTCATGACGTATAAAATTTCATGAGATGTGTCATCACTCAACAGTATGTGCTGTTGTGCGTGTCACATGTTACTGAAACCTACTTCGAACTTTTACTTATTACAGTAACTCTATAAAATTGATTGCAGGAGCGGCTCAGTCAATGTAAAGTAACATTGAAAACATAACCACTCGGCCTCTAGTGGTCAAAAGTAAAAACTTCTTTTCAGAGCTGTTTTACAGTTAGTTCTTATAAGTGGCATAAAAA